TTAACGTCTCAGCTGAAGGACTAGCACAGTTTGGACAGCGGACAACGGGGAAGGCAAGAGCAAAGTCAAGTAGGTTGCCTTTCACAGCTCACACTTTTGTGCATCAGTTCCTTCAGTCAATTAATCATGCTGGCCGAACAACCTGCAGGCAGAATGGTTCCACAGTGCACCTTAATTTGATGTTATGAACTGTTATAGATCCACTTTACAAGCCTCTTGGCTCTGAAGCAGTGCTAGCTGATCATAGTGTTGTATTCTCACTGCTTATAACTTCTCTGTGTGCATTTATTAAATCATCCAAAACTCTGCAGCTGGTGTCCTCTCACGCACCAGGCTCCGCGACCCCATCACTCTCACCCTTGCCCGACTCCACTGGCTCCCCATTCCCCAGAGGATTGAGTTCAAGATCCTCGTCCTCACTTTCAAGGCCATCCATGGCCTTGCCCCCTCCTACCTCTCTGACCTGCTGATTCCCTACTAACCTGCCCGCTCCCTCCGTTCAGCGGGCTCTAGTTTGCTCCATGTCTCCCGCCCGACCAGCCCTACCATCGGTGGCCGGGCTTTCAGCCTCTCTGCCCCCACGGTCCCTTCGCCTCGCTTCCTCCGTTGCCTCCTTCAAGGCCGGTCCCAAGACCCTTCTCTTCGATCGTGGCTTTGGTCGCCCTCCTACCTTTCTGTCTTCCCTCACCCCTACACCACCCCTCCCCCATGTTCGGGCCCCGACACCTGACTGTTCAGCGCTTTAGGACATCCTCCTGACGTGAAAAGCGCTCTATAAATATAATTTTGTTGTTGTGTGTGCCTCTCTGTCTGAGTGTGTATGTGTCTCTCTCTCTCTCTGTGTCCATGTCTGCCTCTTGCTGGGTATCTGTGTCTGTGTGCGGTGGTGGGCCCTGAGAGGCAGGAGTTGATGACCTCCTGTAGCTCCACAGTCAGGACACTGGCGAGCTTGGTGAGTAGTGCTGTTTTGTTTGTGGATCTCCAGGCCCTTTCGGCCTGCACTCGTGTGTGTGTCCACCTCCCACCTCCAACGAAACTGCTTCATATTTCTGCAAAATTTGTCAAATATCCCTGCAATGTTTGGTAAATACTTCTGCAATTTTCTGCTTATTGCTCACTGCTTCCCTCCCCACTGTAACTCCCATGTCTTGCGATGTGGAGATTGTAGGAGACTGTGAACCTCCTACATTTGCCTTTAGTTGCAGTGTTTGTGATGATGTCTTTGAAAACAAACATCTGTAGACTTCCGGAACCCAGCCTTAGGAGGCCTTTAATAAACATTTGTGAAATCATAGCTTTCTTGAAATAATGTGGTCACTGTTATTTTTCCGCTAGCAGCATCTGAAACCACTGAAGGAAATTAGGCATATTTCTGCATGAGAATTAACCTCTACTTGGTGTTTGCTCCCTTATTCTCATTAAGTTTCCTCATTGTTATTGCATTGTTGCATTGTCTGCAATTCACAGCTCCACGCTGATACCTTGTGGTGTAAGGGATCACTTTCCCCTCACTCTTACTCTAAGAAAATAAACGGGAGGAGGAATTCACCACAGGTCTATCTAGGTGCCCATCCACCTTACTAAACACCTCGAAAAATCAACTCTACACTTGGGAGATAACCGTGAAACCCTTCGAGATGTTTTGACATGCTAAGACGCTGCAAAGCTGCTCTCTTGCTTTTCTGCTTCCTAAGGCTAAGTTAATTTTCAATAGAACGAGCTATTTTGCCATCAATTTCATGCATTCCAGTAGTCCCTTGCTGTGAGTTTTCGAGAACATATTGTGTTGGAAATGTTGGGTGTTAATTAGTCTTCAGATGACAGAAGGATATCCCAGCTTGCTGCACACTCCCAAACTCTTCACACATTCATAGATATAGCCTAGTTTTATGCTGTGATTAGTTAACATTCCCACGTGCATCAGTCTCAGCTACTAGATTTGGTTGTTGAACAGCACTTCAAGTAACAAGGCTTTTCTTTTATACATTTTTTAAAAAAAGTGCGAAGAGACATCATAGATTCAGTGAAAGTGAATCTGTTGTGTTTTATTTGGGTATTCAGTATCACGATGCATTATTATTTGTAAACTATTCTGGAAACAAACTTGGGGAATATGGCAGTGAAAAGTAATATGTGGAGTTATTTATTGGTTAGACCGTTCACATGCAAGCGAAAGGATCCTGGTTTCATTCCAGGGCAGGGCATAACCTTAGGCAAGTTTCCTTACTCCACACTTCTCTGTTTACATAGCAGTAAGTAGGAACCCAGTTGTTACTCAATTGGCGGATTGCTTTCTGGGGGGTAATAATTCCTTTAAAAAAGATAATAATTTGGACACTCAATTCATGATTGTTTGTGGGACACTGCTGTGCGCAATTGGTTTCCGTGTTTCGCCCATAAAATATACAGTCAATTTACTTTACAGTATATTCTTTGAAGCAATGATGTGGTAAGGCCTGTCTCAAATGCAAGCATTATTATGTTTAGTAATGTACATCCATTTTCTCAACAAAAAAACAATTGGGCATTTTATGTACGAAAGAAATAAACATGCCTACAAATAAACTGTCACTACATTTGATAGAAATTGTGCTGCATTTTGAGACGATCAACACGATGAGGCGCTATAAAAAAATACAAGTTCTTCCTTTTCTTCCCCCAATGTTGCGACTAATATAGGAAAAGTGGACTATTGGTCAACTTCATTCAACTTACATTTACAGCCAAATGTAAAAGTTGAAGACTTGTGTGTCTGTGTGTGGTGGAGGGGGAAGGAGCTCTCTGTTAGAGATGCAAAGCAAAATGTTGGTATTTGGCTTTTATAACTTGAGGTTTCTTTTATGTGATGATAAATTTAGAGGCTTGTAGTTGGCTACAGATGTAACGTACACACTAAAAATAATGGTTGATCGACGAACACTGATCCATACATATGCTCGATGTGTAACTGTGTTGCGGTCTATGATTGGTGATATCCAATGCTATTAGCAATTTTGTATTTGTTGCATTAAGATGCAATTAAATGGTGTCGTTAAGGCATAAATGCACCAAACTAATGAATCACTGGAATTCTTACAAAAGGATTTTTTCCAGTGAAATGTTGTCATGGGCATTTTTTTCTTTGCCATGTGCAAACCATATGTTAGCACAGCTGGTTTGAGCGCCATGTGTACATGCATGTGCAAAAAGGGAATTGCAGGTGCTCATTTATTATGTAATTGAAGATTTATTAATTTAGCAACTAGCCCTTTCATTTGTTGTTATATTAGATAACTCAATTTTCTCTCTACACATACATTTACACAAGTGTCACAAAATCAACCCCATTGTTTAAAAATAACAGATCACTGTGGTGTTGTATTATGGACAAGCTAGGAATTTGGAGACTTGAGTACATGAATGCCAAATAAAAACTGATTGTTTTCTTTTTAAGAAGAAAATCAATCAAGATCGGCAGGAAATTGTTCCCAAATAATTGAACATTTAACAACTTAAATGTCTTGTAGCTCCTTTTAATATTGACGTTCCAATGCAACATGTGAAAACCAAACAGCATGGTAATCCATCAGCCTTCAATGGTCAGAGAATGCACCTGTTGAATGTATCCAATGACCGAGAGAAGGCGGGAGGATGGGTGACGAGGCTTTACATAGTGCATTCTTAATCATAGAATGAACATTTATGATATGTGTTGTTAAGCTTTTGTTCGATAGTTTTCTCAGAGCAACAATCCATGTGGATACAGGCTGGCGTTACCCATTAGGAATAAGAAATACTGGATTCAATTACACATGCTACAAACTTTTTTGTTTGAAAAACACAATAATATGGACGGTAAACTGAATTGCAATTCAACAACTAACATCTTAACAACAGACAAACAGCATGTTAACATTCAGCCAGAATCTCCCTTGGATTTAAGTCTGTTAATGAGGTGGAACAATGTTCCTGCAAGGGCAATTTTGCAATGTGGTTGTCCATTTAAACCAAACTAACTAACGTTCTTCAGTAAAACACCAAAATGAAACAGCTTGAAAGCCTTTGGCTTGCATTCAGAACGAGTGTGTTTGGTTGGAGGGCAAGCACAGGAACTGACCACAATAGTGAGTTCTTCCATTCATGGGCTGGGCTACTAGTACTTGTACTAATACTAGTACTTTGTACCAAAGAAAAAGTTAAATGACATGAAGAGGCATTTGACTTTGCTTTGCAGAGCCACAATTCCAACTTGTGACTCCTTTAGCGCTCTCAAAGGTATTCTATCAATTGCCCATCGGATGTGAAATGCCAAAAGAGATTATATCAGTTGTTAATGGTTGATTAGTAAGAGGGGTTAAGCACAGCTTTCATAGGTTAGACATTAATAAAGCAGAGTAACCGTACAAGCTTTCATGTTGCTGCCTCTATTACTGTTTATTACAGCATGCATATAGTTGGTTGAGGATGTAGTGGGCACCATAAACCAATGTCATTACCTACACCTAGACCACAGTTTAGCATGGTTTAATATATTTAACTGTCCTGCAGTAAAATTTGTTTTTAATATCACAAAAACCTTACAATATTTTCCTTATCAGCATGGAGTGCATTTCTCATCTGTTTACGTCAGACACTAATATAGATGTGGTTGTGTGTCACCAAAATGTCCTTGTGCCAAAGTCAATTAATATGGAGTATCTGTACAGTCCTTGATGTCCGGCAGGCAAGCAGTTTAGAAACCAGATTAACTGTTTCTTTTCGTGTGGTGATAATGTCTGCAGTTAAAACTGTCAGACAGATGATAACATTAACGTAGAGAATAATCCTGCGTTTTGGTTGCTAGGTTAATAAATTCTATAAGAGGAGATTAGTTAAATTGCATATGTTGCAAACTGGTTTGAAAAAACGAATAATGTGAGCGACAACCTGTGTTTCCAATGCAACAGATGCCTTTCCTTTTATCTCTTTCTCCCCGCACTCCCCCCCCCCCCTCCCCACCCCACTTCACCTCCTCCACCCATCCACCCACTGCCAACATCTTAACATTCATGACTGGCCAAGAATTAAGTCTAATTGAAGTAACGGCTCCCAAGTTCTGCGAATTAATCATTTGCCGGGTCAATCAATGTCAAATGGCATCAACCAGCAACTTTCAAAAGTCATCCATGGGTCAACTAGCCTCTGGCTTTAATTATTGTACATTAATTACACACTTGGCTCCGCTCACTGGCTATGGTTTCCTTTTGACATACCGTTTGCCTTTAGGTATGAGTACAAGCAGGATTCCTGTTCAGCTTGAAGCTGATGGTCAGTTACTACAGTCTCACCCAACACAAAACACGATGCAAATGTGACAAACTCGCCAACAATTTACCTTCTGAATTTAGAAAACTAACAATCAAATTGTTACGATCAGTGTAGATGATCTGAGTTCCGACTGCGCTGTACATTTGAGTCTTATTCACCCCGATATTTTGCTTGGACCAACTTTTAAACCGATCAACTAATTTTTTTAAAACTCTGCAGAAGCCGGGTAAACATTCGCTCTTGTGCAGTTTGATAAAGCATTAAAAAGAAATGCAAGCACCATTACATACAATCCCGATCTCCCCTTCCAACCATGTGTGTTCCTGCCGCCCAAACAAACAAATAAGTACATCAGGTGCAAACAACATCGTCTTTGACTCCAGGGAAGGTTTTTCACCGAATAAGGATCTTCAGATGGAAACTCTTGCTGCACAGCAACAGATATTACCCTTTGAAGGAAACCCGCAAGTTCAATAAATATTTGGTTCTAGATCCAGTAGTATTTTTCCATTGAACCTCGTCTCTGTTCTTCTTCATGGGGATGTCTTGTTGTTTTTACCACCGCAGATGCCGGTGATGTCAGGTCCTCGCTGCCGGGCGAGGCGGGGGTCGTGAAGGAGGCGGAGCCCGAGACGGAGGTGGACCGGGTGGCGGCCTCCGTGTGGGCGGCTCGGCAGGGGAGGCGGGCGGACTGGGAGGTTCGGAGATTAGAGGGATGTCCTCGACGAGAGGCGGGTGCCTTTCGGGTTCAGCAGGGCTGCACGGAGGAGCTTGATCTTTGTTGTCTTTCACTCTGGTGAAGTTTATGCAGCGTCCCTAGTTGGAGAACGGAAATATTATCAGAGTAATTAATAATACAAATAATTGCTACATTTGATAATACTAATAATATTCCTTGCATTTGATGTAGCACCTTATCACGCCATCGAGACATCTCAAAGCGCTTCACAGCAACAGCCAATTGTGCACAGAAATGTCCCACAAACAGTCGTGGATTGACAGGACACTTTTTTATATAAAGCCTTTCATCAAGAGGACTTCTCAAAAGAGCTTCACAGGATATATTGTAAAGTAGAGTGATTTTTTTTGTGGGTGGGTGAACGTGGCAGCCAATTTGCACACAGTGATGTCACCCAAACAACCACAATTTGGATCTGAGGGAATTATTGGCCAAGATACTGAGAGAAATTCCTTTCTCTTTTGGATACTGCTACATCTTTAACGTCCACCTTAAACAGGGAGACAGGACCTTGGTTTAATGTCTCATCTGAAGAATGGCACCTCCAATACTGCGCTCCCCTAGCACTTGGTTTGGCCACCGATGGTGAGAAGGACAAAGTGAAGAACAAGCAGTAGCTTAGAGTTATTGGAGCAGACAGTAAAGGCAGGATTTTAGAGTACCAGCAGAGATAGAGTACCAGCAAACTTGCTACAGTAAAACTCACTTAAGTCATATCAGTCAGAACCGTAACATTTAATATGACTTATGCAAAGTATGAGTTACAGGCTAATTTGCATAAATTGGATTTTGCATAACGAACACATAACAGTAAACAACTACCTCATTTCTTTGCTTGTTTCGACAGAGCACACTGTACTGTACCTTGCATGTGGTACTTCATTACTTCAGCTGGTAAGTGAGCATGCGGTCACAGGTCAAGACTAAGTTTCCCGCGCTTGTTTCATAACTGAACACTGCTCATGGGTACTGCAATGAGCCGGTAAGTGTGGTGGAGGCATTGCGAATTAGATTATTTGCATAGGATTGTATATTTGGTGGGCAAATTGGTATGAAAGTGGATGGGACTCCAGTGTATGTACGACTCAGGCAATTATACGATTTATAAAGAGAAGAGTTTTACTGTAGCAACAGCAACTTGCATTTATAAAGTGCCCTCACGCAGGGTAGCATTCCAGAGCTACCAGTAAAGGGAAGTTAACAACAGAATCACTGGGCACTGTGAGACCCAATGATATCAGTATGAATACATCCAATGCCTGTCTATTCTGACACATTTAATTAACACAGTTAGAAGGTTAATGAGGCTGATGAATGCATCACTCTGTAACAACCAAATACTGAAATGATACTGCCTTGTTCCAACATTAACCATATATCTTTCATATTAAAAAAAACCCTGAATGCAGATGAGTCACTGACTAAATCTGATTGAAAAGGTGAAGCTGTTTTCCTGGGGAAGACATTCCGCCTGGATCTGGATTTGCTCTAACATTTCAGAGTGTCTGGAATATGGCAAATGCTTCCATAACAGTATTAACTTTAAAGCCAGTGTTCTGTAAGTATCTCTTAAGAACCTTCTGAACTTGTGGTTCTAATCCATGCTGAGATTCTGGGTTTGGAGAGGGGAAAGCTAACCTGAGTTCCTGCTCCTTGATTCCTCTAAATCACTCACTACCGGCAGTGTATGTGTGCGCGCGTTTGTATGTGTTGGACAGCCGGGTGGGGAGAAGTCAGGCTCGGCTATGATGCACTCTACAGTCAATTGACCCACTGACACTCACTGCCAAGTCCCACATATGAATAATGGCCACTTGGGCAGGTGGGCGGAAGTGGGTTGGGGGGGGGAAACCTGAGGGCAACTAATGTCTATGGAATCGCACCCCATAAAGAGGGACCCTAACCAGCACTAGAGAAGCATACGCCCAATGGGGAGAAAATAATGAAGAAAATTGGATGCACTAATTTTGTTTAAAAAAAACTACAGAAAATAGGCTTGAAAGTTAAGGCTGTATTGAAGAATGTACCAAATTCTACCCACTTTGAAAATGCTGCAAATGTAACAGTAAATCTAAATCCAAGTGGAGTTCCTACCCCATAGAGTTCCAACAAAAGTTTTTAATAAAACGTCTTCTACTTTTTTACCATCTAATTCTGTGCTTTTAGCCTTTCCTACTCCACATGGCGGATTAATGAGCATCTAACTATCATCTTACATATTTCCCGCACAAATAAAATGTTTGCCAGTATGAACCTCCAACACTTTGAAGTAAGTTGAGTCCTTTATACACTGAATGACAGCTTTGTTTGGGATTCCAATCCAAGATAACCCTGTATTTTGTCTGACGCTTACAATGCTGATCAGTGAGTAGATCAGCCTTTTCTATTCAGGCTGCCCCAAATCACTGAGGCGCCGGTTCACCGGGGGGCTGGGAGTCGGTAGAAATTCTCAGCCCTACACAAAATGCAACAGAAAGACAACCCCCAAATCCACGTGACCCTACAAAACAGTTAGAAGTGTGTTTGAATGAAATAATTTAGATCTGACGTTAAGAAGAGGTACAGCCTACCCATCTTCTGGTGCAATGCCTGCATGAATGAAGGAGAAGGGAACAGAGAGGCACGGGAGAGGGAATTGGCAGGGATGCGGGCTTGTGCAGATTATAAACCCCGGCATGGATTAGTTAGGGGGTTGAACAGTCTCTTTCTGTGCTGTACAGTCTATGTAGTTCTGAACAAGTAGTTGCATTTGCCTATAAATACACGCTCAATTCACTTGAAAATATATTCTGTGAAGTGCTTTGAGACGTCTTGAAGACGTAATCAAGTGCTATATGAAATGCAAGGTTTATTATTATTATTATCATTACAAATGAAGTGCTTTGAGACATCTCCTGACCTGAAAGGTGATGTGTAAAATTATTATTCTGTGTATTGCACCATACATAAACCTTGGGTAAGATCCACTAAAATTACTTCACTGGACGTTAACTCCAGTATTGGTGATGATAATCCTTGACACAGTACCTGTGATGTTGAAAAGTGTCTAAAATGATTTACATGAAATTGCTAACTGTGCAGAAATTAGACATCACCTTCACTAGTTTAATTAACTATAGTGTATGTGCCATTAGGTTCGTTCTTGGATAGTAATTGTAGCCTATGTATCAGCTTGACTCTTGCCCCTGGGTCAGAGGTTGTAGGTTCAAGCCTCCATGAGGACTTGAACTGACTGCCTTTGTTCATACTCCAGGAGCACTACGCTTTAGATGAGACATTACACAAGGTCCTGTCTGCCCATCTTCAAGTGGACTTTAACCTGGTTAAAAAAGAAAGGGAGTTCCTCTTTGTGTCCCAACCAAGAATCCTTCAGATTAATTAGTCATACACCTCCTTGTTGCTTGCGGGACTTTGCATGTACAAAATAGCTGCTCTATTTGCCTTCAAAAACAATTACTGTCAAATGCTTTGAGATATTTCAATGTAATGAGGAACTATAAAAATCTTTTATTTACTATATAACATGGTATGTATCACCAGGTGCCAGTCTGGTTCAGTTGGTAACACTTTTTCCTCCAAGTCTGAAGGTTGAGGGTTCAAACCCCACATTGTGACTTTGAATTCACTATCTTGACACTCCAATACAGTGGTGGGGAAAGTGCTGCATTGTTGGAGGGTACCATTCTTCAGATGAGGCATTAAACCATGCTCTCATTTGCCTGTTCAGGGGCTGTTAAAAAAAGATCCCATGGCACTACTTGAAAAGAGAAAGGATTTTCTCCCTGGTCTTCTGGCCAACAATCCCCCAGATAAAATTAGTCATTTCATGGCTATTTGTGGGACACTGTTGTGTGCAGAATTGCCAACAAAATACACAGTCACTCCACCTTACAGTAAAGTCTTGTGAAGCACTTTGAGAAGTACTGACAAGGTGATGAGGCGCTATATCAAAAGCAGGCAACACATTTTGTATAGTGCCTTTTAAGTCAGGCGGATATCCCAAGGCACAAAATTATTATTGTTATATTTATTGTGCAAACCACATTTAAGACTGGAATCTCTTCAAGATGTGGTAAAAATGAAACTTTACAACACAATCTGGTCTAATCCAACACTGGTTCATAGAGGAACTTATATTCAAATGTAGCTGCTAAGTTTATTTCTTCTAACCCTGAGTTGAAGTTTTTGCAAATGTATTTTTTTTATTATTTTATTCTGGTCTTGTTTTTTTAAAAAACAATTAGTCAATCCACAACTGTTTGTGGGACAATGCTATGCGCAATTGGCTGCCGTGTTTCTCCCACAAAATATGCAGTCAATTCACTTTACAGTATATTCTGTGAAGGACTTAGAGACGTCTCGCCTACGTGATAAGATGCTATATCAAATGGAAGGATTATTATTATTAGTAAAAACCTGTTTGTATGCGTGTGTGTGCGCAGATGAGTGAATTTGCATTAACACAAAGCAGCTCTAAGTAAAAGTTTACCTCCTGCATTTAAAATAGCTTCACTTAAACGCATTTTGCTTAAAAGAGCAGTAAAGTTACCGTGCAGATACACTGAATGCTCCTTAAGGCAATCCGCTGTCACGGGATACAACCAAGGTGTCTGCACTCATTTCATGCCATGTTAATCAAACACAAAAATGTTCGGTTGTAAAAAAATTCATAGCTAACCCATCACTGGTGTACAATCCAGTAAGAAGCCATGAATCTCTTCAAATTACTCTCACTCCAGTTAAAGTGGAGAAGGGCCGTCAAAGTGCTGGCAGTTCCTGCCACGCGCTTTGATTACTTGTCACACAAACAGATGGAGAGTTTAAAGGCCACGAGCCATATTGTGACAGAAAAGATTCCCTTCTTTGTTTGGCACACTCTCAGGTTTATGCCAATGAAGGAAAGGAATGCCCGTCTGTTTTGAGCTAGGATCAGCAGTTTTGTGTCTGCTGCACTGAAACAAGTTGTATCATATCCCAGCCACGCAGTCTCCCTCCAACACTAAACATTTTGCCAAAAGCTACCACAGCACCTGGCTTTATTTTCTATACAAACATGGCTCACATCAAATGTGTTTCA